CATGTGTAATATTTTACGAACGTGTCTACTAGTCAGCTACGTATGCAGTATTTGCATTAATGTTAAAATATTTAGACTCTACGTTTTAATGAGAAAAATTAGATAATATATTAATTGATAATCGGAGAATTTTAGACTTTGCAAATTAAGTTCGTTTCAGAAAGGTTATTTGCACATTAAACTAATACTCGAATAACGTTTAATTCCTCTGCAATTATCGCCCTTAGATCTGGGTGAAAAAAATTTGCATAACAACTTTTTTGAGAATTGACGAAAATTTGCAGAAAAAATTGTTTTGGGAGTAAGTGGTGAACCATAAAAGACAGGTTAAGTTGAAGGATTAATTAGTCACTTGATTTTGAAAACCTTGCTTACAGCTCTGGTAATCAACACCAAGGCCAAAATTCAGACGGAATGTATGTTAACAAGTTGTAATATAAATAAGGTAGAATTGGTGGAAATGATTAATACGTAATTAAGTAATTAAATAAAGCGAATAAAATAAAATACGAAAATACTTATGAGATTTTATGTAAATTTTAAGATTATTCACAATTTGTATATTCATTTTTGTGTCTTAAAAAAGGTTTAATTTTTTTGTATAATAGAAAGGAACATTCTAGATAATTCATAAGACTAAATTATATAATCTAATCTTTAATCTAATCATTTAATGTTTATAATGCATTAAATCTGTCAGTGTTTTTGGTAAAATTTTGTGGTTTGCAACTTTCCGTCTGTTTTTTACAAAATTGATTTAGTTTTTAATGTGCTACCATTGCATTTATTTTAATAAGAAATTATAAACCTGTGGTTATTAAAATTTGGGAATAACCCATTTGTGGTTAAGACACGTAGAAATGGGTATTTTTTTCGTCTAATTTTACTTTGACAATCGTTTTGATTGATATGCTTATTTACCGTCCATGTGGCGATAAAGTTGAATGAAAATTTATTTTATCTACTTCTATAAACATGATTTAATAGAATTGGTTTTACTGTTATATTATGGACAATACACTTTTTTTGGGTTTGTACACTAACTCTTAGTAACAATAAACTGAAAACTGTACTTCAATTAAAAAAAATCTTTCTTATCAATGTTTTTCCAACTTTCTGTATAGGACCTTCAAGTAGTAATAATATACGACCCATAACACAAGAACAAGGTGAAAAATTGAATTTTAATCTCTTATTAGTAAAAATTATATATACTTTTTTTTTAAATACTGGTTTGCGGCTTACATTCTCTCTCCGGACTATAATTTGAGTTGCTACCTGACGTTGGGAACCACTGGCTGGATGGAACTGTTCATGTGTAAACTATTGAACAATAAATATCAGATTTTGAACATAAGTCGTAAGTTTTATATACGAATGTTATATTTAGATACCATTTGTTGCCAACATTTGATAATTAATCTTGTGGCTATCAAGTATTAGCATGTAATAAATATTTACTTAATATATTTCAAACCGCAAAACGATATGATAGTAGGATAAATTTAACTTATCCCACCCATTTCAGTAAACGTGTTATAAATTACCGTAGCCGTAGATAAAATTTTGTAGGTCATACGTGGGTTAGCGCATTATTCTTACCCTCGTGTGATTTCACTCTACTAGAGTCTTTTTATGAACAAACCCGTTGCAATATAACGTAAATAAATATGTTAATACAATTCGCTTATATTTGTGAAACTTTTTGTACATATCATTATTTTTTGCGTTTCAGATCTCAAGATTTTTGTTGCTAGCTGAACCTAACTAATTTGTCTCTTGTCTTTTTTCAAGTTTCATTAAGTTTCTGAATTTTATTTTTGGTAACACCACTATGTGTGTTCAGCATTTTTAATTCAAACTGACTGGATGTAGAAAAATTGCAGTTATTAAACGTCTTTATATGGAGGGTAGTTTTTGATTGAATCTTCGTAGAACTTTTTGATTTTCTTTTTCTTTTTTCTTAGTAATTCGTTCAGTAACACTTCATTCATTTCTGCTACTCAGAAATTGAACTTTTCTTTAAATTTTTAACTTTATTAATGTGCTGTATTGCTAGCTTACTTTCTGAATTTTATTTTAATATATAGTTTTGTTCTGTCACTGTTTCTGTTTTTTCTTCCAATGAGGTCCTCAGTTTTTATGCTGGTTTTTCTGTCTAGTACTTTTAAATTATTTTCACATTTTTAATTTTGCTACATAAAATTTATAACAAATAGTTTTAATTTTAAACAAACAAATCAATAAAATATTTGATATGTGACATGATGTATTACTTCTTATATATCTTTTTTCCCTAATATTCTTAACTTATATCATCATTAACTTGAATGTTCTACGAAAAAAGCTACTAGTTTCCGGTTTTAAACAGTGACGTCTTATTACTTTCCGTGAACTTATTTGGATACTGAGCACTACTGCATTAATAAATATTATACGGTCCCATTAAGGTGGAAAAAACCTAAATGGCCGGCTTTTAGTTGTGAATAAGAGGCACAAGGGGATTTCCAGATAAACTCAGCGGAAGTCATTGGGTCAATTCATTACTTCTGTAGTCTACATCATAGCAAATGACAGTTCTAATAATTATTATTTATGTAAGACTTCTGAAAATTTGATTATTTTATGCCTGGGGTTAATGAGGAAACTCAGTGAGGTAAACTGAGACGACTTTCAGCGAATTATAATGCATTTGTGCCGAAATCGCGAAATTATCTAATTATTGTTTGAATTCACTGAAATACTGTCATACGAAGTATGCGGTTGCTGTAGAACAGATGAAAATCTAGAAGATTTTCCTTCGCTGCTTCGAGATTTACAAAAACTTCCGTTACTGAAATTGATTTTAAAATATTGTTTACTTTTAATGAAAATTAAAAAAAAGACTGTTTCAGAATATTTACTAAACATTTTTAACCTCCTAAAGAAATATGGCGTCATTTTGGAATATTATTCTCTCAGTTAATATTGAATTGTGTCCTACATTAATTTGTGTTTTTACGTGTTACAATGTTCGTACATTCTTATATTTTTACTTACCTTACCTGATTGTAAACTAAGGAAGTAAATGCAATCAAGTTCATCGACGACTGGCTCCTTTTATGTTTTCTCGTCGTTTCATGCTCCCTAGAGTACCAAACAATAGGTGTGTTTTCATCTGTTTCCGTCTATTTTCCTACCTGTCCTAAAACTACCGGACTGATAAATCAAATTTATATGTGTATTATGAATATTATGTAGATAATAAAACGCTAACCAAACTTTGTCTGATCATCTCCACCAACAATATGATCACGTTACCTCAAAATTGTACATAGTAATATGTAATAGGTTTTAAATAGTATAAAAAAACATAATTTCACACGTGTAGTTTATGAATCCGTGTTGAGTTTTTACCTGAGACATCTAAATTTTTGGAAAAAAAAAAATCGAAATTGTATAACGTCTTGCAATCTAATTTTGAATCTCCATAACCAAATGCTTTGAAATCTTACAGACGTTAATTTAAAATTAACGTAAGCATGGTAAATATATTTATTTAGCCCCCGAAAACATTGATGGCGTCATCTCAAAATTTTGCCGAATAAATCCTTCGAAAATGTACAAAATATGATGAGTCTATACTTGTAATTTATCACTCCATTAATATTTTTTAGAATTGTATGGTGACTAAAAAAAATAATGAATGATTCAAATAATTTTTTTAATTAAATCAGGAACGACTCACTTCTTTTTTCCAGAAATTTGGTAAATACAATACTGTTATTATTAGTATTACACTGTATCTATCCAAATTGATGTATGTATTTACGTGTCCTTCCAGATATGTTGACGTCATCAGAAAATTTTGTAAAGGAAAAACTTATATAGAACATACATGTGGCACGCTTCTTTATATTTACGTAATGTTACAGTACATCTCTTCAGTTTAACTTATAGGGGTTCTCTTAAAATTATCTTATTATTTAAATCAGAAACGGCCCACCCTATTTTTTTAGGAATATAGTATTGTTATTATGAGTATCTGCACATTTCTAAACTGATGTACGTGTCCTTGGAAAAGGAAAATTTTGTAGAGAAAAAACTCATTTGAAACATACGCGTAATATGTGTCTTTACACTTACTGTAACACTGCATTTATATATTTTTTAAGTTATAGGGGTTCTCATAAAAAAAACAAATTCTCAAAATCGAATTTTGAAAATGTTTCGAAAAAGCTGGATATGTTTTACTACGTCAGGGGTGAGGGAATTTTACACACCGGAAAGAAAATTTCGTTTCTATACAACTTTTGTGTTTATTTTTGTATTTCAGGTAAACACGAATTCTTCTTTTTACTAAGTATTTTTCAAATTTGTAAAAATATTTTTGATTGTATCAAATTAGCGATTTATCATAAAGAGTGGGCGAATATGTTCATTCTAGTAAAAAAGAGACAAACAAATCTAAATTAGTTTATAGAATCGTCAACACTAATTTTGGGTGTCAGTAGTCATCTTAACTACTTAGAAGAATTTTGCGTTTGTTTTCGTCATTAATGAAAATATTGACGTTATCCACTGTTTTCGTGAATTCACATTTCGACCGCAATTAAATTAAAGCCATAGGAATAATTTTCTACGCTAATCTGAGCTGTAGTACGATTATTTAATCACTTCAGTAACTGTTTTATTTAAATCGATTTAGTGCAGCATAATTTAATTGATTATATTAATGTTATGCAATGGTTACGTTTTGACGCCTCGAGCGACACAGCCTATAATTAATACCAGATGTTGCATTTGCATTCTAGATTACAACTAAATCTCATTTTAATTTCGTATTTTTATTGTAACTGCCGGTATTTGCTATCGTTTAATTGTTTATTGTTTTAAAGTCATTGAAAATCCACACATGCGACGCCTCGCCCAAGTGCTCGCTGCAAACTCGTTAATAATTTAGTCAAATTCATGTCGTCATACCGCAAAGTAAATACTTGCACTTTGTGGTTTTTAAGATGTTTTATTCAATCTCTAATGAACTATCTCATTAACGGCGGAAAAAAGCTCCACGTGAAAATGACAAAAACAAGTATCTCGAGCGTGCGTACAAGCCAGTACTGCTTTTCAACTTGAATAGGGTTCGGGGATATAATATAAAAGTGCTTGCGATGTAAAAGCAGAAGTCGCTGAAACTTTGCCAGTTTCAATCCGGATATTTTCGTGCCGTTGTAAGGATTCTTTCAGTGTGATTATTTACGGTGTGTTGTCCACAATTAATCGACATGGCGGTACAAATGCAGCCCAGTTTCATTCTCACGGAGAAGTTCGAAAAGCTCAAGTTCACTGATTTTGTGGTAACTATAATTTTTTTGTTATTGTTTCATTGAATTTATATGTAGTCTATTTTATGATAAACAGCGGACGAAGGACGTGTAAACTTCATTAGATTTGAGACGATGTTTATTTTTATTGCTACTTACCTCGTCTTTGAATTGGCTGGTAATAAAGTATAGTGAATTGAAGTGGTGTAGGTTATGGCCATTATTAATTTTTAACAAACTGGAAGAGTTACTAGATGATTCATATTTTTTTATTAATGAGACGCTAATGGTTTCTCGGAGTTTTTACAAGTTTTCCCAGGAACGCTGATTGAATCTTTCGCGCGAACTACTATTAAAATTTACTATGACGAGTGTAATTATGCTCGTCTAGTTTTTTATATTAAGTGCGTCAGTTGGATGTACTTTGAAATAATGTACGACAATGTCATTAAACTGTAAATAGTAACATTAGCGAACCTGCGTACGACGTATTTTGCATGATACGAAGAGGTGGAAAGTTTTTATTTTCGAAGAAAATCAAGACATTAGCCATTAATTCGCCTTGTTTGTTAGAAATGTAAGGTTACTTGATTTGTCGATAACAAATGTTAAAGTTTTGTTCAAGAATATTTCTAGCACTCACCACGAAAGTTTAACAAACAAGCGTTAATATGAAGCGCACAGCGCGGTAATAATTACACATTAGATTTCATAATTTGTTTACAACACTCGTACACAGTAAAAACGTCGGACGCGATGCAGACCTATTAAATAATAATAAAAAACTTGCTAAAATCGATCTGCACTTTATTCTGTTGAAAAGCAAGTTTGTTCACGTACATTTTGGATAATTATTAGACATCAACAGACTCAAAATTGTAGGAATGTGTCTTTTTTCATCAAATTAGCGAAAGTAACACTATGAATTTGTCAAAAATATAATGAGAAGTGTTCAGTTCATAAAATGAACACGTTCATCTAACAATATGAGAATCACTGCAATGACATTTTAAGAGATATTTTCAGTGACACGAAAAAATTGGTTTCAAATGACTCTAGTTCGTCTGTAAAGATTATCTGTATAAGTTTTTACGTCTTCTCTTGTTACCAAAAATGTCGTGCTCTAAAATTATTTTGACTGTTAAAATTTAAACGTTTGTAAATGTATAATTTCCCCTTTTAAGCTTTGGAACGACAAAAATATATAAGCCTCATATGTACAATATTTAGCTTTCCAAAATTTGAAATCATAACATATTGGGACATGGTTTGTGGAAGTAAAAATTTTGATTAAGAAGCTTCATTTTACAGATCATGATGTACAAGTTTAATAAAAAAAATATGATCTATTTATTTTATTATTTTATTTTTTATTTATGATAGAATTTTCTAGCTATTTGAACATTATATGAGTGGTTTGTAGTTGTAATTAATACTGTATTTGTTGCATATAATAGACACCAATGTATTATATTATTAATGGAATTCTGTACTATTTAATAACAGTTATTCGTGATAAAGAAACTAATTTCTGCGCTGTCGGAGTGTTCTGAAGAAATAATAAGCCCAATTCAATGTTGTGACACTGCTCACTGTAGAAAGACAGTAAAGAGAATTCTCGTTAATAAGAAAAATATTGGCAGTTGTTTTGTTCTTCAACGTAGAACATCATGTAAAAGCTTTTATTCTTTTAAATTTTTGCCAAAATGACCAACGATATACTTATAAAAGAGCTCGGTTAGCAAGGATATTAAAAACGTCTTTTACTCATTCATTTACTTTTTGATGTATCACGGAGTCAAGGAGTTTGCTCGACTACATGATATTATATGTAAATTTTATAATGTATTTCTCCACACCTTACAAACATTTTTTTCCGCGGTGTCTGTCCGAAGCGAGGCGAGCCAAACAAACACAATCTTTTTACCTTTTCTTTTTAGACACTGACATTGACATTGCTTCTACTTATTTCAATAACTATGACTTGTAAACTTGACTTCCAGTCTTTATTTCTCAATGTGGTTCATGGTATTCGCAATTTTCTTATTTGTCATTCGGATGTGTGGTCGCGTATACCTTCCACTGATATACAAAAAAAACCGCCAAGGTCGGCCAATCAATGCAACAAGTAGAGTCAAAGATGATTTCTTGACCTTGCTGACACAAAAGCTGTTGAAAATTGTGACAATAGTTTATCATTTTTTTCCATTTCATTATCTCCATTAAATTTGAATCTTAGTTGTTGATCTTATTGTCCAGTGAAATTAGCTACACTTAGTTTGTAATTGTAGTTCTACGTAAACAAACTTTGTTTGCGAAATGAAGTCCACGAAATTTTCCTTGGTGATGTTATTGCTCTGCGTTTCTGTGGATTACCTTATTCTTATTAGTTGTATTTATATATTACATTTGCTGCGAACAATAAGCAAATATTTAAAAGGTGTTAAAACCCTTCAAACAGGTGTTTATTCATTTGTGTTAACTCCACCGTTTACTTTATCAATTTTCCTATAACTTAAAATGGACAAAAGAATTTATTTTTTTATCGTTTCAACAATTAACAATATTATTAAAACGTGCTGTAAACTTAATTAAAAGCGGGAAATGTAAGTTGCATGATGCAGTATTGATTTTATGTTAACTATAGTGAAACAATAGTTTACCCTTAAAAGCATCTTAGATGTAAAAGCACCTGGCGGTGACTGTTACCATGGCAATAATATAGTCTTGAGAAGCGCTTTTTCATAGCTGCCAGATGCAGCAGCAGACAAAGGGGCAATAATTCACCGGATAAAGGAGACGCTTTATATTTTAAAAATACTTTATAATAAAGTTGACACCAATATATGGTAGCTCTGCGTTTTTGAAATCCAAATAATGAAGTTATTTTCAACTATTGGAAGAAGTTAATTTTTTAATTGTTTTCAATGAGCGTTTAAATTGAAAACTGACACTTTATTATTGTTCTTCGCTTTTTCTGTCGACGGATTATATATACATGTCAAATTTTTTTTAGTTTTAAAACATTACGTGTCATGAAGGATATATCTAATTTGCTTGACCTTTTGTAGAATTTCACTTAATTATTATTTCTTGCAACAGAAATTTACTTTCATCGCGTCTATTAAGTATGTGTATCTCATTTTGCTATTACGTCTTTTTAACCGGTTACCAATCTCAGCATTTTTTTTTAGTTGCCAGACTTCAGTTTTGATTTCTATCGATTTGTATTTTGTTTCTCTTGTTCATTGTTATTGCATAACGTATTTCTATTCGAGGTTTTTCTCATTGTGTTTTTTTTGACATTTCACACTACATAAAAGATTTCTTCTAAATTTTTGTAACATACTGGCACTATTTTTACTCGATAAATAATGACGTTGATGAACTGTTTTATTTTATCGTTTATTTAATAGTCCTGGAGTTAGGGGAAATTTTATATTTCCAATTAAATTACCAAGTGCCAGCAATTTGTAATCTCATTTTAATTTAAATGTAAATTTGAATTTTTTTTTAGGTGACAAATTTAAAACTGGCAAACAGCACTCTATTAAAATAAATCCGGTGTAAATAAGTTACTTCTGTTTACATTGTCATGTTAATAGTAAACAACCATTTTTTCTTCAGACGACATTTTTTATTTAGAATTTTTCTTGACAATTTTAATTAAATCTCACTAGTTGAGTATTTAAATACGAAAATAAATAAAAGCGGTTTATTTTGACTTGAGATTTTTTTAAATTCCACCCGGGTATCTCAGCGCACCAGGTTTAGTCTAAATGTGTTATGTCATGTAGTGCCAAATGTAAAGGTTATTGTTTGAAAAAAACAGACGCGTGTAGATAGTTGATTTAAGTTATTTAATTTTGGAAAACGACCCATTATAAAGTACCGAATTGTTTTTGTAGTGGAGGTTGTCAAAATGCGCTAACCAGTTGGTGGTCACTTAATTTTGTGGCTTTTTAAACGATAAATCTCACAAAATTAAATATCAAAACAGTTTACTCCACATAAGTTTGAGCAACAATGAATGTTTACCTATGTCTAAGTACCTATATGTATAGGAAGAAGCTCGTCGTCAATTAGAAATTCAACTGTGTTTGCTATATACTTTCTTCTCCAGATGTGCAGAAATGGTGATGATCGAGTAGTAAGTTTACAACAGTTACAGCTTTGAGAACTCTAGAACTTTTTCCGATAATTTTTACGATTATCTGTTTTTTCTTGTCTTGTCAATTCTCTTGAAAGGTTTCCGTGTTAGTTCATAAATAAGTAATAATTATAAAAATTTCTACATGTATCTACACGTTTTATGTAACTATCATAAAAAAGTAGATAATGAGTAATGGCATAAAAAAAGCAGAGATAACGGCATTTTATTTGCAGAACAAGTAACAGGAAACAAGAATAAAAATAAATTCTGCATTTTAATTTAAAATTTCTGGTTTTTAATTTGCCTAGTAGTGTAGGAGCCTTGTAAAGGTATTCCGATGAAAACGTTTCTTCGTTTTTTATACAGCGTGTGACCTCCACTTTTTCTATTGTTGATAGATCGGAAATGGTAAAATATACGATATAGGTTAAGTAAAAAAATAATAATAATTTCTTGTTGATCAATAATTCTTCAAGACGACTGAAATAAGTTGTATAAAGGAAAAATCGAAATTATTACTTTTCTAAAAAGATAAATAAATTTCTGTGTTTGTGCCGATAGCTATGTAATCAGTGTAATTATTTTATTTTAAGTCTATCATATTTTAAAATATATCGATTGTCGTTTTTGCTACGATTGTTTAGAAAAGTGTTCATTTTATGTCTGTTATTATGCATGACTAAACGAAAATCCCTGCATAACAGTTGCATAAAAACACAGTGTTTATAATTTCATGGTGATCATAAGTTATTTACGTTTGTAATAATATCCTAATTTTGGTTTCTGCTCAAGACATACGTATATATTGTCACATTTTTCTGAAATTACTCTTCTGCTGATGAAATAATAAAGTCATTACATTAATGTTTTGCTTTTTGGAATATTTTTTCCAAACGTTGGACCAATCGCAGGTAATCATAAAAAATTCAAGTGTCCGCGTTTTTTTGTCTGGCAGTGTATGTGATAACATGTAGATAATACTAATTGTAATGACATTGATTTCCATAATAGCAGGAACATGAAACGAGCCATTTTTTAGATAATCGGTAAAATCGTAAATTACTTAAGTACTTCATATATATTCTTGTTCATATCTTATTGTTTTTTGCATCCTGTATAATAGATAACCCTATATCTCTCTGAATAAAGATTGATTATATTTATTTAAGGTAACGTCATTGGGTTACTGAGGGAGATAAATAATTTTAGTTAAACTGTTGATTTACCTAAACTTGTAAAGTTGAAAACAAGGGTGTTGTTTCCAATTCAGATTTGACCTGGCCGACTAGGAAAACAAATGACTAAATTAATGTAATAATAATCTCCGAAGGGTCTATGGAGATTTGTGGGGTCATTGGAATAAAAGGGTGCCACACGCAACCCTCAGCTGGTCTGGATTCGCAAGTAGAAGACTTGAATTTGTTATGAAATGTAAATTTTCATAACAAATATATTCAATGTGCGCCAAAGACAGGAATTATTGATGGATTATTCATTCCTCTGCTGATTATTTTACTAACAATATTTTAAGATAATGTTGGTTACCATAATTTTAAAATACATTTAAAATTACATACTGGTCAGTGGAGATTATTCCTCCAAAATTCGCGAACAGACGAAGGTAGCAGTTTATATTCCATAAATTGTGAAACGCCAAGACACCTTGAAGTTAAACATGATATGAATAAATAAGTTTATTAAGACCCACCACTGACCCGGAAATGACCGGCATTCAGGCAAGACTTCTATCATTACGGGTACTAAGACCAAGTAATGATATGCATTGATTAGATTAACAGAACAACTTTCGAGATTCTAGAATTACAGCATACAAATTAGTCTGCTATTATTCTCTAATCTCACCCCATCCCCAAAAGTCCAGCGTAACTACCGACCATTTATCCGCGCATCACATGAAAAGTGACCTACACTACTCTGACCTACTGGTGCTAATCTAATCTGACTGACATGATCAGACTGTTCAAGAAACTTACGAACAATATGACATGTTCCTAACAAAACAGCTTTTTGAATTTTGACAATTATTGAATCATTCAAATGCAAAGACTTTAAATTCTCAACTAAGCTATTTGGAACTACACCTACATTAGAGATAACTAGGGGTAGAATTGAAATTTTTTTAAGATTCAACATGGATTTCATTTCTATCGATAATTGTAGATATTTTGAAATCTTGGTGTCGTATGTTTGAATAATGTTGTTTGTGTTAGGAATAGCAATGTCAATGAGAATGGCTTCGTTCGTGTGTTTTTTGATAAGTATGATGTCTGGTCTGTTAGCTGTAATGTTTAAGTCTGTAAGTATTGTGCGATCCCAGTATAATTTGTATTTGTTATTTTCAAGGAATGGAGACGGAATGTAAGTGTAATAGGGTGTCGTATCTTCGATTAAGTTCATAAGTGTTGCTAATTCTTTGTGAATGATTTTGGCTGCGTTGTCGTGTCTAGCTTTGTAATCAGTTTGTGCTAGGATGCTGCAAGAAGAGATTATGTGCTGGATCGTTTCAGGTTTTGCTTTGCATAGGCGACAGCAGTCGTTTTTTATGTTCGGATCTTTGATGATGTATTTTCTATAATTCTTGGTATTGATTACTCGGTCTTGAATAGCAAACACAAATCCTTCTGTTTCGGCATACAAACTTGATTTTTTTAACCAAATCAATGACATCTTCTTATTGACATGATTTTCTTCTAAGTCTTTGTAGAATTTTCCATGTAGTTGTTTTTGTTTTAGCCCACTTATTATTTTATCTATTGTGTGGGGGGTGTGGATTTCTTCGGTGTTCGACAGATTTAAGGGTGTGTGGTTCAAATCTGCTCTTGTGATGGTGCGAAACATTTCATTTCTTTCCGCTCGTTTCAAGAAATACTTCTTCAAATCTGAGATTTGTCTCTGATATAAGTTTTCTAAGTTCTGGAAACCCCTTCCTCCATTCTGTCTTGGTAATGAGAATCTTTCAATCGACGATTTTGGGTGATGCCTTCTATACTGTGTGAAGATTTTCCTTGTTGCGATGTTTAAATTTTCAAGATCAGTTTTGGACCATTTAATGACTCCAAAAGAATATGTTAGCAGTGGAACGCAGAATGTATTTACTGCTTTCATTAAATTTTTTCCATTTAACTGTGTCTTCAATATTAATTTTAATCTCGCTACGTATTGATCTTTCAACTGTGTTTTCGTTTTGGTATGATTGATGTGGGAGGATTGACAGAAACCCAGATATTTGTATGTATCGTTTCGTTCTTGGGCTTCAATTATTTCCTTATTCTGTGTTATATGTGGTACTTGGTGAAACACGCCTTTTCTGATTGCTTGGGTCTTACATTTCTCAATACCAAAGGACATACCAATATCACCGGAAAATTGTTCAGTCAGATTTAATAGGTTTGTTAACTGATTTTGTGTACTTGCATATATTTTTATGTCATCCATATACAGCAAGTGACTTATTCTGTTTTCTCTTTGTTTGTTAATTCTTATATTGAACCCATAATTGCAGCTGTTCAGGATATCGGAGAGGGGATTTATTGCTAAGCAGAACCATAACGGGCTAATAATTTTTAATTACAAGTAATACAAGACTTTCATTATTAATTATTATGGTCCATAAAAATATAAAACTTCAAAACTATCGCATTACAACACTTCTTAATAACCATTTGCTGGGAAAGTACCAAATTTTCCAATCGTAAAATTTCCCAAAGAAATGGGCTTATTATCTCTACTTAATGTTTTAATTAATTATGTTTTCATTAGTTTTATGAAAAGGCTTCAAAATTTAACAATTACGATAGTTAATTTTTATTTTTATGGCTGCCATATCTTTTCTACAATGCGTACTACAACTTTCATTTCAAGATATATCAACATAAAAAAATTGAAACCGTGCATTAATTCCTTTCAGTAATATTATTTATTGTTCTCAGTCCGTCGATTCCGTGTCCACGCCCTCTACGCCTTCCACACCCTGCAGCCCACCAGCTGAACCTTACGCCATCGAGATAATAACAGCAAACGACAAAGAAGAAGTCGTCCAGTTCCTACGCACCTTTTTCATCCGAGATGAACCTCTGAACTACAGCATCGGTCTCCTTGACGGCAGGCCGACTTGTGTAGAGCTCGAAGAGTACTCGCTGAAGGACCTCGACAACGGCCTAAATCTGAAGGCAGTATGCAACGGAAAAATAATTGGTGTCTGCCTCAACGGTATCCTGGAACGCGGTTACACCGATGAAATAGAAGAAGTAACCTGTCCGGATAAAAAATTCGCCAAGATTCTGAGGCTTCTCGATCACGTTGCCGTGGAATCAAAAATCTTTACCCATTTTCCCGACGTCAATAAAGCGATAACGGTGAAAATACTCTCTGTGGACAGCTCTCTGAGAGGACGTGGGATCGCAAAAGACCTAATGAACAAAACGAGGTAAGGAAACAGGAATTGGACGGGAAAAAGTAACGCAATTTCCGTAGTTCTTGTTTGAGTCAAACAGAAGCGGTTCGTTAGGACATTTTAGGTGATGTTTAATCGAACCTATTTTTTGCCATTAATTTATCGATCCGATTGGCTCTCAAATAGTATGACAAAAGTTATAGTTTAATATTCTAAAAAAATTAGTGCAAAAAATTAAATAATTTTTATATACCATACAACCCTTTGATGCTACATGACAAGCATACAAGTATATATGTCATACAACAATTCATTTCGCCGTAAAATAATTCATTACAAATTTTGAAGTGAAACTCTTTGTTTTCGTTCTCTACAGAAGTTATTGTTTCTATTAAGGTTGATGCTGAGTATCTAAACGTTAATATGCTTTTTTCAACTTCTATATCACCTGATGTGCTTCTGAAAACACCATGACTAAACTTTCGTTGATAATTTGTATTAAGTTTGGTGCTTTGGTCTAGCTGCTTGTCCATTTTCTATCTGTTGGCGATTTTATTTGATCAATAATCCCAAATACTACTGGATCAGTTGTTGTCCTCTTAGCTTCTTTCTAAATAAAAATAAATTAATATACCTTATTAATCCATCCTTATTTTTAAACTTATGTAGATTTTTGGGAAAATGAAATTATATAAATTACCATAGATGCTACAGAATAGATTGCCCTTTACATACTTTAAGGATATCGTACACAAGGTAAATCGCTAACTAGAATTTACATATTTATCTCTTCGAAAAATTTGATGACGTCATTTTAGAATTTTGCTGAGATTACGTTGTGCCTGAGGCCAGGAAAGCTCTGTCTAAATAATTTTAGACCTATTTAAAATCAAGCATTCATCAGTAGCAATGTACAAAATATAAACAGATATTTTTTTTTCGACTAGAATTTCTACAATTTTACATAAATTAAATACATTTTTTAACAGAGGCCTAGGTTTGTCTGAGTATTTTCTTATACTTTAATATAACATATGTAAAATTGTATTCGTCAGCGCATCAAGTTAGAAGAAAGGTGAATTTTAAATGAAAACACTTTTTATGTATTATTTTTACCTCTTGTTCTTGTTCTCTACACCAAGAGAATCTTAAAAAAGAACCACCAAAAAAACGTATAAATTAGAAAAGAAAGCAAGGAAATGAGTGTTTTAACATTGCACCTAGCATTGTGTGTCGTTAGATAATGTAGATAAAGTGTACTTCTGAAAGCTAAGTTTCATCATTAATTAATAAATTTAAGGATAATCAAAGTGTTTGACAAGACTTGACACGATTGGTGGAAATTTTATATTAAATAATTATTAAAATATTTTTTACAGCCTAATTTTTGTAGAGAAAAATTGTTTTCGAACCAATTGTACGACGGAAATATCTTGCAGTTTCGTTTTTCGTTGTTTTAGGGGTAACACTGTAGTCTTAATACTGTTTATGCATCCAGTAATTTTTCAAATATCTACTAATGGCCTTAGCAACTAAGGTTATATCTAATCCTAGTATAAAAGATTGAAAGTCATAGATTGACCCGGTATAAAATGCCACCCTCCGCCACTGGATTCGATGTTTCGAAAAACAAATGTTCTGGCGTCGAGCCAAAGAGAACGCAGATAGGTCAAGGTCTGCATTAATCTTAAGGTAGAGGTCGTGGTTTTTCAACGCTTTTCTCAGGGAAATTAATTTTCCGCACGCGAATTTGCTTTTACGCCACCCTTACACACAATTCTCGACGAATAAGTCGAAGCTTGGCGCAGACAATCTTGTTAGAGTCTCTTTGTTAAACTTCCATTTCATCTCGGATGGTAATTGGAATAAGATGAAAAACAGCTGCACGAATTTTCGAACGCTCTTGAATTTTCTCGGAAAGATTTGCTGTGGCCTGACCTTAAACTGGAATTCGGAGACGAACGCGAACTCATTACAATAATGAGATAGGATCGTAAGAAGCTGGATTTTTTTTCAATTTTTTTTTATTTCTTTTGTTCCCTTATTCATGGTTGTGCATGAAAATTGCGTTGAGTGAAGAGTACGCGGCAAATCGCAAGCACTTACAAATTCTGAATTTAACGATTACTCACATGTGCATTTGATAGTTGGCAAATAGAACATGACAGGGCGTAAATCTTTTTTTTTTCTTTTGCTCAGTTTATGCAGTTTTGCTGAAAGTAAAAACAATTGTTTAAACGGAATATCGCGTAGTTTTACACACGTGGATAACATTTTCAAAGCAAAAAAAAATTAACCTTTCTACAGAGTGCTTTTAAATATAACTATTACAATACTAAAAAAATACAACCTTCAGAATGATTACTTTCTGCGCTGACACAGACACAAATATGTTATTTAGTATCTCGGTGAAATCGACAATTTCAACAAAATAGTTCAGAATGCGAAGATGACAGCGTCGTCGCTGAAACGTATTGACAGGGTTGAAATTTTCGATGTTGCGAAAATAATAACGTTATAACAGAAGATATCCCTTGCCAGACAAGTTTCATGTATCATCGAGATAAGCATCCGCTTCAAATGCTAATTATTATTATTGAGAAATTAATAATATTTATATTTATACGGCCAACGAATTATAATAAGGTGTTATAAATAATATAAACTTTAGTAATTTTAATTTAAAAAAGATGTAAAAGTAATTATTGGAGTAAAATGTTGTTTGGTGGACTGAATATAAAGATTTTATCTGTCCACACAATGTAACACTCTTTTGCCATTTACGGACTAGCGGAACATATGTACATTTGATTTTTTTTGGTTATCATTTATTTTATTTTTATTAATATATTTTAGTATGAAACTCTTCAGCTGATAGGTTTCTATAAACAATTTGTGTTAAAAATATTTTTTGTTTGTTTTACCTTTTGTTTTAGTTTATAATTTATTTTTATGTTTTGTTATTTTACAGAGATATGGCTAAAGAGCTAAGTTGTGGCTTAATGACCGCAGATTGCACAAGTCACTTTACGGCCAAGGCTTTGAAAAGACTCAGTTTTGAATGCGTTTATTCCTTGAAATATGAAGATTACAAGGTTAATGGCGAAGTTGTGTTTACACCTGAGAAGCCTCATGAAGCTGTTACTGTTTACGCCCAAAGAATTTAAAAACACTTGTCCTAAAGCACTAGACTTTTTTTCCCTAATGGAGTACAATATTTCCTGGTATTATGGTCTATGTATTTCTACTTCTTTACAATCATTCCTTTTTGTAACTGACAATAAAAATAACATTTGCTTGCCACAAATCTAATTGTGTATCGTTTTTGTATTCGTTTTGGAATACGAGTATTATTGTTTTGTTTTTAAATAAAATGCAATGTTGTGATAAAAGTCTATAATGTACAAAATATAGTTTAAATAAAACTGTAGGTATTTTGTTAAATAATAAAGAAAATAAAAACGTCATAAGTAAATTTTTCTTCTAGTTGTGTATATCGTGCAGTGTTTCATCATCACGCATCAACTTGGAATGTATTACAATTTCGGAGTGTTTACGACTTACTATAATTTAGAGCAAACGCAGATGCCTTAAAAAGGGTCTCTATAATTTAGTGCTCTCCGCACAGATCCGCCAGACAACAGATTAATGTAGCTGTGCTTGAGTCTTTCCCTAACTACAACAAAAAGACTAGTCCTCGGCGGAAGCCATGAAATTAACAATTAAAAAGCTTTTATCTGGTAATTTTCTGGCGAACTATTAGGTTTTTACTGTTTCACTTTTACGACCTGCTTGTTGATTTATATCTTTATGTTACAGAGACCTTGCTCGTGAACAGGGTTGTGGTATAATGACTGCAGATTGTACCAGTCACTTTACAGCAAGAGCTTTAAAAAAGCTGGGTTTCGAGTGCATATACTCGTTGAATTATGAAGATTACCGAATTGATGGCGAAGTAATCTTTACTCCTGAGATACCTCACGCTGCCATTACCGTCTACACTCAGAGAATATAAGTCGATTTTAGTTCTTCGGGCGGAGACACTGCCTAGAGGAATTTTGAAACCGCACAAACAATCGTGGCATAACAATTAGATGCGAACGTAAAATAATATACAGAAAAGTTCTCTGGTTTTTGTAACATCCATAAAATTTTTGCTTTTTGAATCTTGGATTCATACTAATAGCAGACTCTCCATTTGAAAAATGTTGGTTCCACTTGGAAACCCATTTTTTCGCGGTTTTGCGATTCTTGCTTTTGCTGTCAATTATGGAACAAGTTTGGTTCGATACGAAAATTGGGTTTTCGAGAAAGTTTTACATAGACTAGACAAATGACGAAAATCATCGAACCATATATATTTCACGTTTGCATTTAAAACAAAGTATTAACAAATTTTTAATTAGTGTAAACTGGCGGCTAAAATTTTGAATATCAAATCTGCATAAAAACTACTAACTTAGAGTAAACTTGGTTTAACGTAAATTCCCACGGCTTGAACTAAAAATCTGTGGTGATTGTGATATTGTTGTGAGCCAGTCAGTGATCTTAATTAATCGTGAGTATTTCGTCGGTACTATTTACATTAGCTGCACTGGAACAAGAAAACGGAAACGTAACACTTAATCAACTCCACTGTACCTATAAACAAACCAAGTTTACTCAATTATATTAGATATATTACTCAAACGAACTAAGTGTACCTTCTTTAAATAGTAATATGTAAACGCTCCTTAGAGTTTACTCCGGTTTTGTCAATGGGAAAATTTTAATTCTAATTTGTTTCTTGAATGTTTAGAACTACCATTTTGTATCTACATACTTCTTAACAATGACATTCCTCTCTAAGTTCTGCGTTTTCATTAAATGTGCTTGAGTGTCTGCCCTGAGTGGTAAATAATGTTATATGTGTGATAATTATCTGCTGTGGGTAATTGTGTACTTTTAATGTATTCTTTTTGGAATACGTAGGTTGTATTATTGTTCAAACGCATCCTAATGTTATTTGTTCAACAGTATTTATAGATTTACAACATTTACATGGATTTGCTCACTATAATACCTATTATGTGGTGTATAAAATGTGTTTTAAATAAATAAAATATATTCCAGTTGATTCCATTCATTTGTTTGTTACATGTTGCAGCAATGTAGTCAGTCCTATTCAAACGTCATTTAATCTACGAGATCAATTGTATGTTAAAAAACTTGTGTGTTGTTCAGTCATTTTTTTAGCTCCATCTTCACAGAAATTATGTTTACTGCTTTGTGACGTTGGTTGGGTCAGTAAACTTATCTTTGTAGGTAAAAAAAATTGATGATACTTAAATTGATTATGATGTTGTCGTTGGGTAACAATTAATTCGTGTTTTTATAACTTCATATTTAACAACAGTAATGTAAGAGTGCGCACGTTATGTAAAACATAATTATATCCTGAAGAGATAATAGCGTCCTTAAATATTTCAAGCACGGGTTCACCGTGTGATAGAAAAGCGAGAGGGACACAAAACTTTCGGAGCAAACTGTATACAGATTATCTTCTCTCTACTGGATACTCAGAGATTATATTATTACAAATGATATTTGGGGTGCGTCAGTTTCCTAAGAAATTTATTAGAGTATCAAAAATTCCTATGATAAGTACATGCAGTTCTCGAGTTATTACAGACTTTACACTGATATTTCTAGATCGCGTCATTGCCGACGGATAGTAATTACTCTGCCAAGACATTTCACATGTCGTCGGTTCCACATTAAACTAACGAATGTGAAAATTCGTACTTTGTATAATGCATTATTTTACTGTTTACCTACTCCTAAGGAACATCGTGTAGCAATCGAAACTCTATGGCATACCGACAGACTGGAATTATTATTAAAGCAAATTTAATACATCGTAAATCACATTCGTTATTTTAACATGGTGCAGACGATGCATCAAAGGCGATTTTTAAGTCACCTTGCAGTAAACATTTTTTTTTTTATTAATTATTTTTATTCACAATGATCCGTCACAACTTTTAGTAAATAGGCTATTCGTTATCTTGACTATACTAACGAAGTAATGAGATGTATGAATGAGGTGACTAGTGATACAAAAGTAAAGTTTCTGTATACGTTATTGTTAAACGGCACAGTGGGACAACTTGCAGTGTTTGATAGCCTATAAGAGCCAACGATCGATTTACTGAATAAGGAATACCTATTCTGGCAACCGATACAGACTGGAAAAGAACAACCCCTAATTACCAAAGGGGATAAAAAGTTTGCAATTTTTCTGAACCATCAACAAATCTAGCATTTGAAGATGAGTATTTGTTGTGAAGAAAAAATACAGCCAGAACATTCCGACTCCTCCAAATCGTTAACTGAATAATAAAAAATTTGAGCCTAATAACGCTGACTACATCTAACCGTCCAACACGACCATAGACCATAACCTCTGATAGAAACCGGTCCAAGTAAACTAAACATAGTTTTCTGTTTATCTGTTTGTCAAGAGCTAGCCCTAAAAATTTTCAGCTACTTATCAGTTCACAAAAAGTTCAATATGGAATGAGAATATGCATAAATTTCAAAATTTGATCATGGTTGATCCTTTAATCAATTCAACAGTAATTTGGTGTCAGATTTCTTTATTACATTGTTTAGTTTTTATATACAAATTACATCATGGTGTCTGCTTAGTTCCAAAACGGATAAAAAATTGCAGATCAGTCATAACGAGATTTCTATTAAATCAAAAATGTCATGCTATTAATTTTTAATCATAGACAGTTTTTCTGTATTTTGCCTTTCTCAAAAGTTTGTACTCAATTAGTAAACGTATTGAGTCATTAACTTTAAAAAGGTCAAAATAGATGACATATATAAACAAAGAAGAATATCTATGTATAAAAACTTGATATATGATTTAATCTTAAATGTAAAAATGTTCACATTAGTTACAGATTTTCTAAGGATCAGTTCGAACAAGTTTTGGCTATTTCAGGTAGTGCATGCGGTTTTTACGTATGCAGTGTGTAACTATCTAGTTACAATTTACGAGAAATCAATATGGAATTATTGACGATAATAATTTGGTTAATATAGATATTGAATTATTATTAATCAATACTTTCATATTTTCCTGTCAAACTAAACTTATTAGGATGCTTTTTGGAAAAGAGATTTGAATTCCTTCATATCTGCCATGAAACTCTAAAACTACTATAATTAGTTGTTTCAGTCAAAGTAGAGTAACAGGTATAGCTAGAGGCACCCATTTTCAATGGTCCAATAGCTGTAAATCTACTTTTTTATGCTAATACAAGCTGAAGATTCTGTACTAAGTATATTTCTGCAACTCAATCTATCTGAATTTTTATTTGAAGTAGTAGAAAAAAGTAAACCAGAAACTCTCAGATGGTCCCGATACATAAGTTGAAAATCAGTATTCTTATCTTACCAGTTGTATCTTAAATCTACATATTAAACCACTCGCAGATTAACATTGTAGTTGTTTTTATTGCCTCAATCGCACAAGAAACTTTGACTTGTAAGATTTTAGTACTAATAGTAGTACCTAATTCTGTTTTAGAGAAAACAGTTTAATTTTTATTCTGTTGAATCTTTACTACCTAATGCTTTAAGTATATGCAAGAAGAAGACCATTAGAGATTACAACAGAAGCATCTAAAACAACAGTAATGGAGATTTCGTGGAAAAATCTAACTCACTAAAAAGTTCTGCTAGTTTCCACGCTAAAATCAACACTGTTTATTGAAGAAAATATCGATATTTCCAAATTTCTAAAATATTTTTTGAAAAGAAGTAATGAAAGATATAAGCCTAAAAAGTCGAAGAAAACTAGCAGAATTCCTTAATTTACCAACTGCAGAGGCTTACACTGATCATTCAATGTTGCAGTTTCTCAAAAAAAAAAATTAGGTAACAAACTAATAAAATTGTGTACAACAAGAACAATCACGTGGTACCAGGAATACCCACACCATCAACTGAAAGTTCGTTTTGGGGATCGAAGCGCATCAAGCAACATATCAGAATTTAATTATAATTACTTAATTTATGATATGCAGTCCAGATAAGAATGTAGATAATTTTTAAAACCATTATAATTAGTATTTTCGAGATTGACAAATAAATCAATTACTTAATGGTTAACTAATGAACCTCTAAATATAACATCATACGTTTTATAAATGGTTTTTAATTGTTCTACGCTTTAAAGATATGTTGCCTTATGAATGAAGTTAGCATACGTAAATTTTAGATGTGCGATAAGCGATAATAAAGTAGGTACCGAGACACAAAAACAAACGATCAAAGATAGTGATGGTTTTTGAACATTTGTGTTTGATGGAATTTTCGTCCTGTTACATTACCGTCAATTTGAAAGTTTGTGTCCAATGCACAAAAAATCTTTATGTGAAACTGAAAAGATAACATCAAAAGACACAAATAGTTAGTTCTATAGAACAAATTATACTACAACTCATATTTTTAGTGACCAGACTGCGACGTTCGTTGTTAGAGTGAAGAAAGTATGACATCATTAAGGACTATTATAAGCGGAACTTGAATGATGTAGACTTCGTAGTAAAAGTTGATTTTCAAAAACTCAGAATATAATATATAAGCAGAGGCGACTTCTTCAGTTTGTATAAACTGCATTAATTTGTGCTTCAATTGTAGTGACACATCAAAATTTAAAAATTTGTGTACTACAAATAATAATTGTTTTGATGTACAACTGATTTTAAGCAAGGAAGCGGGAAAATCAAAATTATTATGTTCCACACAAAACTTTATGATTTTTAGAAAATTAGGTTTATAGAGTGTTCCTATAAGATGAATGCTACAGAAAACAAATAAGAAGCCTAAAAATGAGAAATACTAGACATTTCGCACGCCAGCTTGGTCAACATTCACTACAGAATAACAGAATTAATGCTTGGCAACATTTTGCGCTACAGAAAACAAAAATAATGTAAGTAAAACGTCTGGGGGTCAAATATACCTACCTCCATCTCCATCATGCTAACTAACATGAACGTAGTGTGTGTCTCAATCGTGTCAAACCTGTTTTTTCTATGCATAGAGCTCATTTTTTCGTGAACTGCATTTGTTTACACGTTCAAGGTTGGATGTATTTCATTTCGCAAAAGGCAAAGTCCTTTCCACGCGTCGAAGCAGGAACTATTGTTATGTGTAAAGAGCAGATTCTGGGGCAAAGGCCTTTTGATTTTGGTAGTAGGCAAATGTATGAAAGTTGTATATAAATCGAAATCAATAGGTATAAAGATGTCAATGGTTTAATTTCTAACGTAAAGAAAGTATTTCTTAAAGTTCATTTGAGGATCTAAGACTTCTGGGACGCCTTACCGGATTGTCCATTGTCTCCAGAACCAGTTCTTACAAGATCGGGTTTATGAATTGAAACGGTAATAGTTATATTATTGCGATCATTTTGACGATATAAATAGTAATATATTTAAAAAAGGTTTGTTTATTGCTATTTATAATATTAAAGCGTAAGACTAAATTAAATGGAACATTTTAGGTTATTGTGGAATTTGACCCCACAGTGTCGAAATGCATCACCAGTGCTTAATAATATTTCCAACAAAAGCATATCAAACATAATTTGGCTTACATAAAACCCATTTTACCATCTTAAAAACAAGTATTAGATTAGAGCATTGGGTTGAACTTAAGTCAGTCTGTGGACATATTATATGTATTAGTAGAGCAATTGTATTATTACCCCGGAGAAAGTAGGTAGTAGTAGTAATTTATTATTTGCCTTATAGGTTTAATAATATTCCTAGTAGGGGTGGGTACAAATTAACTTAATCTACATCAGATAAATCAATAACAATAAAATAAATAAAATAAAATAAAATAAAAATTCGAGTGTTATATAATAAATATTCTATTCTTTCTGCTTGCCCACCCCTTGCCATAGTTCCCTTATCTTCCATACTTCTTTCATCTAGTCCAGTCCTCTTCCATCCTCGTTTAGCACTTCTTCCCTACTTTTCTCCGATTCTCTCAATCCTTCACATCCTTCCAGCATATGCTCTATTGTTTCTCCCTCTCTTCAACATATCCTACACCTTCTGTCAGTTTCATCCATCCAAAAATTATTCTCTTTCTCTCCTTTTCCATATTCTTTTCTCCTTTATACTATCTCTCTCTATGTACTTTGGTACTTCATCCTTTACTATTTTTCTATAGTCTGCATTATATCTAGACTCCGATATTCTCGATCTACGTTCTTGCTTATCTATATCCTTATCTCTTACACTCAGTTCTTCTTTCATACTCCTTCCCATTTCTCTCATTCTCTCTATTTTTTCACATGCATATCCCTTTCCTTCATAATACTTGTCCCTTTCGTTCCAAACATGTTTTCCCCCTTCCTTTCTTATTTCTTTCCAATATTCTTGCAATATCTTGCAATCACCTCTCTCACTGAACTTCTCTTCAAATCCAACCGCCCTTTTACCCGCTTCCACTCTCATTTTCTCCCTTTTTGTTTCTTCTCTCACTATGTATACCCCAGCGTATACTTTTCCAATCCCTATGTCCATTTCCAGTATTTTTCTTGCACTCTCTCTATTTCTTCATATTCCCTCCATCCCCAAATCTCAGCTCCGTACATAAATACACTTTTGATCAAACTGTCAAACAACTTCATTCTTTTCTTATAATCATGTCCAAATTTTCTCTCTCCTATTCCCCATACTATTCCTATCACTTTGTTTACTTTTTGGACCATTTCTTGAATATGAGCTCTATCTGAGTTATTGCTCTTTAATGTATATCCTAAATACTGGAATTCTTTCACCTGTTTAATGTTCTTCCCTCTCCATGCCCACTCTTCCTTCTCCTTTCTTATTTTCTTCCCAAACACCACCATCTTTGTTTTTTCCACATTCACTTCCAATTCCTTTTTTTTTATATACTTCTCCAAACTTTTAATCATTGCTTTCATTTCTTCTCTTTTCTTTGCCGCAATCACCAAATCATCTGCGTACGCCAACGGCCACACTTTCTCTTTGCCACAATCACCAAATCATCTGCGTACGCCAACGGCCACACTTTCTCTTTGCCGACTACCACCCCTCCTGTCTGTGCTTTTCTGAACATTTCATCTATATCTCCTAGATAAGCTGCGAACATTGCGGGGCTGAGTGGGCATCCTTGTCTCACTCCTCTATTTGTATAAAAACTCTCACTCTCTATTCCATTCACTCTCACCGTATTTACTGTTTCTTCATATATTTCTTCCATTTTCGTTACCAAGTATGCATCTACTCCCTTTCTCCTCAAATACTCCCACATTTTCTCTCTATTCACGCTATCAAACGCTGCTTTGAAATCTATGAACAATGGGTACATTCGTCCACCCTCTTTGCTTATTTCTCTTCCCACTAAATGCCGCAGGATGTACACATTGTCCATAGTACCTCTTTCTTTCCTAAACCCTGCCTGACCGTCTGGTAACATACCCCTTGCTTCCATCTCCTTTCGTAACCTCTCATCGAGTATCATTGCATATATCTTGTACCCCGTATTAAGCAAGGTAATCCCTCGGTAGTTTTTCACATCACTTTTTTGCCCATTTTTAAATAATGGGATTATTATACCTTCTCTCCACTGCCGAGGAAACCCTTTTCCCTTCCAAACTCCATTTACCACTTCCCATATCTTTTCTTTCACTCCTTCTGTCCCGAACATCCACGCTTCGTTCTGCATTCCATCCCCTCCTGGTGCCTTTCTTCTTTTCAGTCTTTCAATCTGTCTTCCTATTTCATCTTTTGTTATTTCCGAACCTCTCCACATTTCTTCCGTCGTTGTGATTCCTTTATTTATTTTGCAGCATTTTTCCTCACAACCTCCCAATAATTCCATAAAGTGTGTTTTCCATTCATGTATTTTGATTTTCCCGCTGACTTCAGTCTTCCTTCTCCGTTCCTTCTTTATATATGTCCATACTTGCTCTTCTGTTTTCAGGGACTTTATTGTCTTCTCTTCTTCTTCTCGTTTTTCTCTTTTTCTTTCTTCTCATTTTCTCCTATAATTCTCTCTTGCTTTTAGGTACTCTTCTTTCCTTCCCTTGTTATTCTTCCATTTTCTTAATTTTTCCCTTTAATTTAATTAAATTTGACAGCAAAGTATTACAAGGTGAAAATGTAGAAAAATATTTAAAAATGAAACCCACTGAAATTTCTAATTTTGAATGTTCTCTTTTAACGCCGTGTGATGTTGAGAGATCCTTCTCTAGGTATAAAAATGTCTAAACAATCAAAAGAAAAAAAAATTCTGCCGAAAATTTAGAAAAATATCTACTTTGTTATGCAAATTTTAACGAAGGTTAGGATCGCTGATTATGTAAAATAACAAAATAGATCTAAAAAAAATCGGACGTTGTGTAAAATTTATTTTTCCTAAAACTCGCCTAAAGCGCCTTTTTCCCATTTTCCGGGCCAAAACCTCTCGCTTTTATCGCCTATTTTGGATTTTTTTAGCCTAAAATACGCTCTTTACTTACATGTAAAGGAATGCAAAACGGAACTCTTTTTTATACGCTTTTAAATAGAAGGAAATTTATTAATATACTTAACTAGTTTGAATTTTTTTGATAAGCACAGTTTTCTTTGCATAAAATTTTCATGGTTACCGTGAAAACATGGAATATAATTTTAGATGGGGACTATATGCATTTAATTGTAAAATGTGAATTTCAATGTGAACAATGAGATGGGCTTGGAATTGAATACTTTCATGCAGAGCAATAATACAATATTGCTAAATATTTTCCTTTTCTGTTGAAAAATTCAATATCATGTTTTTTAATATTCAAAAGCCGTTCAAGAGAAAATAGTTTTGTTCCATTGATTGGACCGTGTTTTACATGTATTAAATTCCACATGTCTTGGATTTCCTTTGATTTATATTTCATTGTAGGATGTAGGTATAGCATTAGATTCTCATGCCTTAATCCATCGCTGAAATTGAAACCTAATTTGAAATTTAATTTTAAAAAGTAATTATTTGTGATGGAACTTCTATTTTTAATTAGGTAACTGTAGAAAAAGAATAATGAATATGATTATATTTTGCTAAAATAAAACTGGAAACATTCATCATTTATAATACGATTTATTATAAAATCCAAAGATTTTGAATGTGAGCTCCTTTGCATGAAGTATCAAAATTATAGGTACTCTTATTATACTGTTCAAGTTCCAATTCAATTAGGCGAACCTTTCTTGAGATTATCTATACATAAAATGAAGTTTATTTCTGAAAAGTATTTATTATGCTTATTTAGTAAGAGTAGGTATAAGTAAGAAGGCATGTGGAAGGTCAAAAAAAACCTAGAATGATCAAACTGCCAACAGTGTAAGAAAGAACTGGGGGACTCAATGGAAAGAAGTTGTGGCGGCACAATAACACGCGGGTAAAGCAGAGTAAAGATAAGTCGTCTCGTGGTGTAGCGGTTAGCATACCAGCCCGGATTGCTTGGAGACGTGGGTTCGAATCCCACCGAGGCACAACATTTTTCTCTGCTTTCCCACAAAGTGAAGAACAAAGCAAAAGTTAGAAAAAGTTGGAGAACATCATCACTTCGATTTCTCTGCAGTACAATAGCTGGTCTAATGATAAATAAGCAAGTTTTTGACATAATGTCGCTAACCGTCAGCAGAAGATGATCAAACACGTTCTAGTTAATTTTTTGTAATCCCTGAATCCTTTTGTTGATGTTTTATGACAATTTCAAGAAAGTTTGTCTTTGAAGTAGTAAGTACAATTCGCTGATTACAATTTGTTTAGGGCATCTTGTTGTAAAGTTGAAAATTGAGGTGCAATTGTAGATCTTACGTTGTACATGGTACTTAAAATGAATTGACGTCCGTAAGCGGAATTTTTAGTGCAGGTCTTAAAGGCCACAAAATCAATCAGTTTTAATTATTAAAGTTGGTTGTTAAGGTGTTAAAAGAGAAGGTGGCAGGTTAGGGTGAATCTGGTCATAAGAGTGGTGGTGACGCGTAGGTACCATGAGGGCGTACTCACGTGGAGCACCTTTAGTCCATTACACAGTAGGTTGGCGAAAGTCATGAAAGGGGTGTCCTGGCTGTTGACCGACCGGTGGTGCCGGAGGTAGCAATCGAATACAGCAGAGAATACATTTAATGGTTAAGTTGGGAGATTAATCCGGTTTCTGGAGGAAATACAGTGATGTATAGACGTGGAGGTGTCCTCTCCACTTTACCTGTGGTTGTGCTCCTTCTGAGGAGGCTGTGGACGGGTAGTACTTTAGTACATCCCAAACTGTACACCTAGAGCGATTTCAGATAACTCGACAACGTCTTCAAGAGATCGCGCCGAAGACGATGCCATGAGTTAGAACCGCTGATTGACAAGGAGTGGGCTAGGGGTGGAGACCCCACGGTGAGTGACTCCATTTTTATCACTGGAGACGGATAAGTCATGTGTTTTCATATTCATGATTGGGGCCGAATTGTGGCTGTACTGGGTGTCACATTTAAAGGTGAGTGAGTATGAAGATTGCAATAATTGGCTGTATCCGTTTGATCGTCATTAATAATGACTATTTGTTGATAATTTGCACTAAAGTCGCTATATTTGGTCTAGAATCGTCCTACATATCACACATTTTTGGAGAGAATATTTTGATAAACGTTGTTTTACTTTTCTTATGGTTATTTCAGTTGTAACTATCATAAATTAATATGAAAATAACGAGTACATTCACGTATTACGTTTGAAATTTTATCTACGACGATTCATTACAATTGCTTGGCATACTTAAATAAGGAAATGAATATAGAATTGAACCGAAACGGAGTAAGTTACCACCTAGTTCAGATTGGAAATCAAGTTTATCTTCACTATATACAGTTTTCCACAACTTTCATCTGTTGCTTATAAAATTTACAAACATTTAAATTCCCGCTGTTATTGATTGTGCGAAATGACCTTGAGTTCGACCTTTGGCAGAAAAATTGATGTTTTGTTACGTCATTCTACGAATGTCAAATTATTAATTCACCAAAATATTCATCTCCAATATGTAAACCATAACTCACTATTTGGATAATGTCTTACAAAATTTGCAGTGATGTCTCAAAAGTGACAACGAAATTTAATACCTTACACAGTTTTTGCAGGTATGACGATTTATATAATAGTAAAATACTAAAAGTGAGGTTATATTGTTATTATTAAATCACTACTAAGCTTTTCTCTTTTTATATTAACAATAAAAGATTGTACCAAACACATTATGAAGTGTTAAAGTTATCAAAAAATTGTTCACCTAAAGAAATAAAGAGCGCTTTCATCAAACTTTCAAAGCAGGTAAGTGTTGAAGATCTAAAAAGCAGCAACTAAAAGATTTTAATTCAAATCTAGCATCATCCAGATGTCAATAAGAGTAAGCAATCGCATGCCAAGTTTCAGCAAATTAACGAAGCCTATAAAGTATTAGGCAAACCTGAAAGTCGACGAGATTATGACTTGGGTTTATCACAGGATCACCCACATGCAGCAAAACACTATCAAACTGAAAGATATTATTATGAACCAAGAACTCGCAAGTGAGTGGTTTGTAGTGCATTATATTAAACTAACGAATTCTTTTAGCCCATATAGTGATCCACACTTTTGGGCTAATAGAGACAAGGCACGTGATGAATATTATAGACAACATCCATATTATGGAATAGATGGAATTCCAAGATTATCCAATGAAGCTATTATATTTTTCTGTATTGTTTTTTCGTTAATAGGCATGGGTTTGCAGTATATAGCAATAACGTAATTATCCCAAATATTTTTCTTTAAGTTTTAAACCGTTGTTTTAGTAGATCACAAACTTTCAGAAGAGATGCTTTAATTAGAAGATCCTTAGAAACAGAACAAATATTGAATCAAACAAAGGAAACTGCTGTCAGCAATGGTAATGCTGCACAGTTAGAAGCTTTAAAAATAAAACTTCTAGGACAAACAGTAAAAGAATGTGATAACAAATAATTCAATTAAATTATTTATTTAATACAGTATTTTTTTTAATGTTCTAGCAAGTGTAATAATACATCCCTACTCACACAATGGACATAATAGAGAAAACCATGAAATATGCAATAGTAAATTTTTCATCTGTTTCTATAAACAATATTTAAAATTATGTACAATGACCATATATTCAAAGCATATTTATTTTGACCTCCAAGTTAGACTACTTTTATTAGGAACAAACGTGTGTGAAAAATTACATTCTGCTTGGTTCTTGCAATACTTGCCAAATTTACAAGGCTTGGGATGGTAAAATGTACAATTGACGTTTGCACAGTTAGGGAAGAATTTACAAGTCTGTAGAGTTGCTCCTGTCATTTTTGCGGGAGTTGGCGCTACAATTCGGGAGCCTGCAAAAAAAAAAATGAATAAATATAGCAGCATTAATCGTTTAATTTCTAAAATTCACTAAATTAAATATACATAAGAAAGGAAGCAATAAAAACCGCAAACTAATGAAGTTTCACGTGTTGTATTTTGGTTTTGAATTATAGTTACTATGCTTGTGTGAGATGCAAGCCTATTCATGAAAGCAATATTCATGTTCAAAATGAAGATATATATGTATTTAATTTTATTTGTATGTAGTTTACAGAACTATCGACTTTGTGATGATTCGTCCAAGAAAATTCGACCTGATAAAATCGGGATCAAAAATACGTTTGTTCTTTTAAAAACTAACATGCATGAGTGCCTACATATTTACCTGGCTAATGTAGCGTAGGTGGAAAATCCAGAACAACTCAGATTAAAAAAAAAGTAATTTCGGCATTTTTTAGTTATGTACTTTACGTAAGATTGTGGTTTGTGTTTTGGTTTTTCGGTCTCAATTATTCTGGAATTTTATAAATTTTGGAGTGCGTGATAAGGAAATATGGTAGTAATGTCCTTTTGAAGAATGTCTCATGTTTCACAGCTTGTAAAATACGAAAATTTCGATTTTTTGTTTCCATCTGCCTGGTGGTGATTTTATTAGAGAAATAATCTACCAAATTGGGGAATTGATTCCTGTAAAATTTTAGGGATACTTTAAGAATATGGTGCTACGGTGAAGCGCCAACTAAATTGATCTGTAGATCCCCAACAAGTTTTTAATGACGCAATTTTAAAATTTCGTAACATAAATACAAGTTATCATAAAAAATGAAATTTATAAAATGATTTTTTTACAATATATCTTACACATATCTTTGATATTTTGGCAGGACATTGGACTTCACAGAGTACACATAAAATGCACTATTTATCCTCTCCCAAAATTTGTAACTTTCTGTCAATAAATTATTAAATAAATATTTATTCAAAAATATACCTTTAGGAGGCCAATGTTATTCCCATGTGGATGCTGTGATTTTATTTTTGGATTTGCTTCCACAAAACGGCTTATTTTATGGCTGATATGCATAAAGTGTAGTAAATACTTGGTACTGAAAGGTCAAGTTTTCATATGTATAAAAATAGGTTTTAACTAATAAGTACCTATCTACTTGATGCTCACTAGTTTAAAAACTTTCTAGTTTGTACTTAACCTTCCAGTAAATGCTCAGTCTTTTATGCATAAGAAAAAGTATTTACTTGAAATAATAAGTAACAACTTGTAATTTTTTAAGCTGCTTTTTAGTAGACTTTTGAATTTAACCGGGTGAATTAAATCACCTTAGAATCTGTTTTCAGTTTATTATTGTCGTTTACTGTTAGTTCCTCGTTCGTTCACTTTCTTTTTTTTTTTAATTCTATTTTCAAGTTGTATATTTTTTCAAGATTTTGCTGTCTGACTGAATTCGCCAAAATTTGCGATGTATTCTTTGAAAAAATTGTTGAAAGCTTTTTTTTTGCGTCTTATATTTGGTGTCTGATTTGCATAACAAAACGAGCAATTTTTTTACTTCCTGAGCGTAAGAAAGTATGTATTATTATAGGGTCCACCAATGGCTAGTTTCATATTTTCTGTGAGTATGAAACAATAGGCCTTCCGTTTCCATTTGTCTGTTTGCCATCTGTGTCGATTATTATTATTTTCTATTTATCATATTAAGTAGACGAATTATCCCAATAAATAAAGTTAACAAAGCCAAAATTTACGACTTGTTTAATAAACTAGATAATGGATTTCTAAACCATTTTTTAGTACAACACGAACATTTATTTAGTGATTACGAAATATTAACACAATCTAATTTATCAGCCTCAAAAAAATTGACAACGTAAAATTGTATCGAGCAAGTCCCACTTGAAATGTATTGGATGTTCCTTTATCTGTATCTTATTGTTAACCATGCAAATGAGTTACTGTAAAAAACTCATATGGGTCGTGTCAATAAGCTTTAGTAAATGCTTTTACTTTCATTATAAAAAGATAGTATAGGAATTTGTATGTTTTGTGGTCCGTAATATGTATTTTTTTTAATTACAGTATAAGGTAAATTTAACGCCTGTAAATTTTATTTTTGTTCAATAAAAATGTTCTTTGATGATCAACCAACGACCCAATTGTTTAGCTCACGTTGGAAGGGTAGATTGCCGTTAATGGCAGTATGAAGTTATCAAAAATTAAAATCAAATAATCAACATTAAAACAAAGAAAACTGTTAGTTTACAACAGGTGCTTAATGGGTTCGCGACTAATTTTGTAATAATAATGAGAGGGTTAATTAAATAAGTTGTCTGGGGACTTCAAAATTTAGGTAACAACAACGTTTTGGTTAGTGTTATCTTATGGACATCAAATTAATAATTTACAAAAAGTTGTAAACTTTTTGGCAGGAAAACCCGCCTTGACATGTAATGCGTATTAGCCTGGTCAGGTCAGGTCAACTTTTTAGTGTGTATCAAGGAAGTTAAAAAGAAAGAATCAATATTTGAATTAATACATTTTACTATTCCAGAGCCGGTTTATTCAGTTTACCGAAATACCAGATTGTACATAAAAAACTAGGAGTATTATATTTATTTCAATTGGAGAGCTGGTAAAATCGTTTGAATAAAATCTTTATTGAAAAATATGCATTGATGTGTATTGTCCTTCAGAAGGAAAGCGAGTTATGTGTATATAATTTGACAATTGTCTTACTAACGAAATCGCGATAAAACGTTTAAGAAAATATTACAAATGCTTCATAATGTCCTACTGTTGCCATTATGATGGTCAAAGTAGTCTGATTCGTGAAAAAAAAATTTCATAAGTTATTAACAGGTTGTGTGCTATCTTAGTTACAAATTTGTAAATTTTGGCTTACCTAGACCTTTAGATGCTGGACTGTGACTATAAACACAATCCCTCCTTGTACAAGAACTACCAAATTTACAAGTTGGATGTAAAAACAAGCACTTATCACCAAATTTGCAATGTGGGAATTTTTCGCAGTTGGTGCTGGGGTGAACAAATTCGCATTTTTCACCTTGACGACAGGACGGCCAATATTTGCATCTTTCCTTATTCTTGACTGATGGTGATGCATGAACTATAGGCAACTTATCAGGAATATTTGGCTTACTCTTAACTGGTGTAGTAACATTATCAAAAATAATTGGTGATGGCGATTTCTTTTTGTCAAGTCTTGATTTGATTGAAGGTTTTGCATTTTCTTCATTCACTAGGTCCTTGTACTTAGTTTTTTCAATACCATCTAAAGTGACTATGAATTTTTGTTTGACTTTACCATTTTCGGTAACACTTTCTTCCGAATCGCTTGTGACTTTAGTACTAGGTACATACTTTGGAATAGGGTCTTGAGACCTATTTATTGATGTTGGGACGTATTCCAAGTTTTCGTCTTTGTCGTTTGAAGATGACAGGATTTTTTTTATTTTATTTTTTTCTACCTGTGGTAGTTTTTTACCGACTAGTTGTTCATCTTTAAGCTTTTCCTTATATTTTTTTGTATACAAAGCATCAGGCTACAAACAATTTTGATTATTTCAAACTATAAAAAAAGTATGCTTACCTTCAAATTTTGTCCCACTGGTGGAGTCTGAGCTATGCTCCTTTGCGCTTCAGCTACCGCTTTTAACAGCAGATTTTTATTAGGCTGTGGGGCATCAGGAGGAATAACTCTAGGTTTAATTTTCACCATGCTTGGTACTTCTCGATTTCTTACAGGTTCTTCAGGCTCTTCAGGTGTTTTTGGAGGAATTGATACCTTGGACATGACACCAAGTCTATTGAGGACACTCTTCAAACAAACAAAATATAAATTTTTAGAACAAACATAATAAAATACACACTTCTTTAGACTTTTCATTATCCCTTTTACTTCTCATGCTACTTCTGGGTCGTTTTTCCTTGTCTTCTTCTCGATCCCTATTTCTTAGACTATCTTCTTTTCTAAACTCTGACAAATCAATTCTTGACTTTTTTAATGGTGATGTATCTTGATTCTCACTAGATCTCCGCTTTCCCAATCTTTCTAATACCGATTTACGTTTGGTCAAACCCTGACTCTCTTCATTGCTAAATGTAATCCTGGTGCGTTCAGGCTTTTTTTGCGTACTTGGAGCAACTTCCGTAATGGCAGTTTTGACTAATTCAATTTTTTTGTTTTTCTTTTCTGATTCTGGGGGTATTAATTCATCTAAAAATATGTACTTATGTACTACTAATTAAAAAACACAAAAACAAAGTACCTGGCTCAGGTTTAAGAGTAAGGCAATCTTCTTCATCACTTTCCACCAACAAACCCAATCTACTTTTAACGCTTTTAATTTTTTTTTCAATATCTTCAAGTTCTTCTTCTGTAGACATGTTGACTTCTGACAATGGAGGGATATCGAAGTTATCATGAATTACTTGTTCTGACGGATTATTGTTGGATTGATTTTCTTTCATTATTATAATTTTCCTCTGTTCTGAAAGTCTATTTGCACTTATGGGTAAATCATCAGTTAATGATTTAAAAATTTCCTCGTTTGTTGGCGTCCTGTCTGAAGTTGACTCTTTTTTAACTTTCTTGTCCATTTTCTTGTCTTTCTTTTCTTTTTTGACGCTAACATTAGGGGCTTCGTCAGATTTTCGTTTAGCAGTCTTTTTATAGACCTCTAGAAATGTGCAATCAGTACAAGAGCGTTTTTGTGTCACCACTTACCGGGGTTAGTTACTGTTACTTCTTTGAGTTTTTTCAAAACTATATGCAGCCAATCTACAAAAGTGCCCGTTTTATTTGAAAGGAATAGCTGTAAATCGTCTTTCATTTGCGATTTGGTCCTTTTATTGGCTACCATAACCATTACATAGTCTGGCAGTTCATCATCTGGAAAACAGACAAACACAGAATATGAAAAGAAATAATGTTATTATTTACTATTTACCAACATAGCAATTTAATTCCAACAGCTTAGCTTTAATAGCAGACTGAAATTAATAAAGTTATTAGCTTATTATTATATAAATCAAAACATAACCTAACAAATGTTCATAAATTTTATTTTTACACTTACTCGCATTTTTTGACCAACTTCTGCACCTATATTTGTCATTTTTATATTTTGTTTTTACTTACAGTAGTTCAATAATTCAGTTACTCATTAATAACTTATAATTACAAGCAATATGTATTTTACATGTTTGACACTCACCAACCGGTAAGTGGGGAAACAAACGAGATGTCACTTTCAAATGTAGCGCGGTAAACTAACTTGCAATGAGTTTTGTTAAAAAAAAATAAATTTAAGGAAATTGTATTTACTGAGAGGATTTAGGATGTAGTTTTACGACATTATATTCACAAAATTTTCATGAAAAGAAGTGAGAATTTATGTATTAAAGTCCATTCTGTTACATAGTCATATGAGAAGTTTCATCCTCCACTGATTATTATTATTATCTTTTAAGACAGTTTAAACTTGTGTTTATTGCACATTAATTGTCGAAATACATGTGTAGAATTACGAAACGTACATATATGGAATATAAATTTTATTTGAGTGAACTGAAATTTTCGTGTCGATGAGAAATGAGTATTAATTTCATCAAATAATTCTACAATAATCAATTAATCACCCCTCTTGTACAACATATTATTGCCTGCAGCTAAACTGAACAGTTTAATATTTAGAACAAAATAAAGCATTGTTCAAACGAATTAATGGAATAAGTTATAAATAATCATGATTTTTGTTTTCTAATTGATTTGTAGAAAAATGCTGTAGGTCCTTGAGTGATTCTGTTGCACAGTAAAACTTTTACTCTATGCACTAGTTCCACAAATAAGTACATAAAACTTTACTAAGCCACATGTAAGTTACAGTTCACCAACACACAATTTCCTAAGAAGAAATATTTATAGACAATGTTAATTTATAGGAAAAAAAATCTGTTGAGGTAAACATCAAGCAGTCAATGATTTTTAGTCGAAATCGATTAGTTTGGTTACATACTTCACGGTTGCGTTGCCCATCATGAGATTAGGACCATAAGAGTAACATAAATCAGGATTTCAGAGCATTCGGTTTTGCAGTTTCGAAGTTAAATTGCAACATTTTGTTACGTTTTTTTTTGCAGGAATATCTTATTTTATAAAAATAAAAACTAATTTACTGTCGTAAATTTTGGAGATGACGTCATCAAACTGTTGGTGGGGATGATTAGCCCAATTTTGATTAGCGTTTTACCATCTACATGATAATCTTAATATACCTACATATAAAATTTGTATCTGTTTAATAAAAATCCGGACAGCAGACGGCAGACAGACAGATAGAGAGACAGACAGAAACGGAGACCTATTTCTTCGTAGTAAAGGGATCAACATTTCCTTAGTTCGGGAAGTAAAAAGGATAGGTATTACATAGATAACACACTTCCTTACGTTTAGAGGTCGTAAAAAATTATTATCTCTCTAATCAAATAAGATATCCAGATTGAATTGTAACTCCAACGTATCGTCAAAGGATTGAATTGTTTAAAAAAGTTGCAGGTCATCAGTATAATAAAGTAAGAAATTGAACAATTGGAGTATGTAAAACGAGATAAATCATTTATAGATAATAGGAACAAAAAAGGCCCACGGTAAGAACCTTGTGGCACACCTGACAAAAGAGGATAAGAAGATAGGAACGATAATCACCAATCTGAACTGATTGAGTATTAAAAAGATAAAGTTTTATTGCAAAAACCGAGATGTTTCAGCTTGAATATATATACTTATGGTTTATTTTATCAAACGCTTTACAAAAAATCAATATAGTAGGTATATCGAATCCACTTGTACCTTATAACTGTAATACTCTAACAAATTAATCAAAGTGAATCTGTTTTTCAAGAAACCACATTGCTTGGAAGAAATAATACAAGAAATCTAAAGTTGTTCCCAGTATAATAATCGATTTTGTTGCGGTCACCGGAGTTAAATATCGGGTGTCTGGAAAATAGCGGATTAAGTCTTCGCTACGCTTTTAACAATCAGAAGGTGAGTACGGGAAAAATAGTAAAAAAGTCTTTCTCACATTTTGGTGGAGTTTTAATGATTTTTAAGCACATTCATTATCATAATAACTAGAAATAAAGCTTTTATTAAATTGTATATTAAATTACCATTTCAGTTGGAATGTACAAAGCAGTTAAAAATGTTTGACGTATCAAAAATTGCCAACTTTTGAAAAACCAACTTTTAAAATGTTCGCAGTTAGAAGTACCTGGTTTTTGACGTATGCGAAGGGAATGCTACTGCTGCTGCACGAGTAGCACATTTCTTTACCTTTACTTGAACATTACACACATATCTTCATTTTAACTTAGAAGGGTTATCATAAAAAAATTAAATTCGCAAAATCAAATCTTATAATTTTTCGGAACAGCTGCATTTGATGTATCGTACTTTATAGGAGAGGGAAGTTCTGTCGAAATAAGTTGTAGTCATTAATTATTGTGCATTATTATGTATTAATAAAACAAGCTGTTATTTTTCAGTAATAAATAAATCATGAAAACCATTTAATAAGGTAATCAAAATCATAAATTATAAATGAAAACAAAAGCAAAAAATAGTTGTTTCTGGTATAAGTGTGTTCAGTTACAAATAAGTCACGCGAGAAACAAGCAGCCCAGAAGGGGCGGAGTTCCCGATTAGGGTACGTTTCTTAAGTGACTTGTGTACTGAACACACGCATGGCATACAAAAATTTATCCAACACCTCAAAAACCGATTTAACATAACTACTGTATAAATTTGACACTTTTGAAGGACAATTAGCTGAGATTTCTATAAATTATAGTAAAACCTATACCCCTGAGTAGGTCATGCTACCGTCTCTGTGGAGTATGTTTGTGTATCAAAGAAAATTTTATTTCGGTGAAAAAAATTGTTAATAATGGAAAACTAGCAAGAAGCAGTTTTTGTACCTGATAAAATAAGAGAACAAGTGGTAGCAGCTTGTGGGAGATTAATCCCGGAGAAGTCGAAAGAAAACTACGTAAGAGAGTACGAGTTAGATATTCAAAGAATGGAAAAAAGAGGAACGTGTTTCTGGCATCAATGAAGACATAGTGTTGGTATATTTGCATTATTATAGAAAAATCATTGTATCGTCTTCGTTATGGATGAAATATTCCATGCTAAAATATCCTTGCAGATTTTATAAAAATGGAGATACATATTTCAAAATATGGAAAAGTGTACAGCAGTCAGTACTTGATGGCAAAGGTACAGCTTAAGTTGCTTCTAGTTTAGCGCAGGGTTGTAATTGGTTTAAGCATTTTTAGGTCGTTTTAATGATGGAAGCATGCAGTTGCGTCGAACTAACTAAGCTGACATTAGACATTATTGATGATAAGGGAGGGTATTTGTATGTGAAGATACCAGGCACAAAAACTAACATTTCAAGGAGTTTTACGATCGTCCAAGATCGTCTCAATAAACGTTCTTGAACTTTACCGAAAATATGTATCTCTGAGACCGAAAAATGTCCGACATCGTGGATTTTTCCTCAGTTATAAGAAGGAAAAATACATTATTCAAGTAGTTGGAATTAACACCCTATCAAAGGTTCTCCAAACTGTTGCTGCACTTTTAAAATTGCCCGATGTAAAATCAGATAGGAGTATATAATTTCGTTTAATTTTAATGTTAGTGTTACTCTTAATTAATAATAAATTCCGTTTCTGTACTAATTTATGTTTTAATTTTACTAGTGAGTTAACGTTAAGCTCACTAGTGACTTATGACCTACCTAATTTAATTGAAGTCACCATCGTTATGACACAATAATACAAAGGTGTTGGATAAAAGAAAAAATCCATGACACTATAATTACAACACACTAGAGAAGATGTTTGTGCGATTAAGCAAGTTTGTATTTTTCTATATGACAATTCTCTTTGATTCTAGATTATATATTCTCATTTACTGAGTTCGGTTTAACTAATGTTTCCAAATTTTGAATATGTTTTGTAAAAGTTCCTTATAAGTCCACAAACTTTTAGAGGTAGCCTTCGTGAAGTAAGGGTTGTACCCTGTTTCTTGCACTTCCAACACTCTGGCAGTATCCGAGTATTTCTTATCGAATCGTTAGCCACAAGATCTACGACCTCCTCGTCTCCCACTTGCCTAGTACGCGTCTTCCTAAGACGACCTCCGACCATGGAACTAGAATAGAAAGTAAGCTATCTGTTTCCCGCAATTTTGCGTCCAGTCCTTTGATCACATTTACTGTGGGATGCCTTCTTACCCCATAACGTTTTCTTTTCGCATTAGTCAAAAACCAGGTACATACCAGTATACTGTCTTTGCCATTTCTATAGAAACACCATCTGTTGATTTTGCATAAAATTTAGCAATTGGTAACAATTTCGGTTGATTGACAACGGCTTTTAGTTAGAAAATTGTCTGAATATGAACGTTGCCAAATTTACGATCAACAAGTGGTGTTTCAATAGAAATGGCAAAGACTATAGTCGTAAATTTGGCAACGTTCATATTCAGACAATTTTCTAACTAAAAGCCGTTGTCAATCAACCGAAAACTGTTAGCAATTGCTAAATTTTAGGCAAAATCAACAGGTGGCGTTTCAACAGAAATGGCAAAGACTATATACTAATTAACTGTTAACATTTTAAAACGTAGGTTTTTGAAAATTTTGACAATTTTTGACACATCAAACATTTTTAACTGCTTACTCGATTTTCGCTGATAAGTACCTACTTTTTCTTTGCATCAGGCAAACGTTGTTGTCAAATGGAATTTTATCAAATTACCACAAAAACAACACAATCATAGCTTTGTACATTTTAACTAAAACGGTAGTTAAACATAACCATGGGCTAGAGAAATATTAATTAAAAATTTCATTACTAGTTATTGTGATAACGAATGTGTTATTTAGTTGTTAAACGTTATGAAAGAACTAACTTTAAAATCACTATAATTTCCCTAAAATGTGAGAAGGATTCTTTTAATATTTTTTCCAGACTCACCAGTAGATGTTAAGTGCGTAGCGAAGAGTTAATCCGCCATTTTCCAGACACCCGGTTTATAAGGACATCTTTCAACTTTTAGTAAAAGAGAAAACTGATTTTTTAGAAATATGTAGGTAGATACATATTTAATAATATCTGACTCTGTTTCAGAAATCACTTATCGGATTTTTTACAGGTAAAACTCATTGGCGTTAGATCTTGAGAAAGCAATATTTAATAAAGAAATATTTCTATTGAAATTCTATAAACATCATTGCTTTTAGCTTGAAGGAAGCACATCAATTTGGTACATTGCAAATGCAATAATAATAAAGTTTATTGCGCAGCCGGCTCAACACCCATAAAGCACATAATGGTAAAAATTAATTAGAAGTAAAAATATGACGTATATACGACGTCGGTGTCGCGTCGCAAACTTATATATATTTTTTGAGCTTTTAAATCATGCTAGGGTCGTAAATATGGCAAAAACTATTTTAGAAATGGATCTAAGAAAATTGCTTTAGTCTAAGATTTCTGGCGTTAAAAGTTTATGAATAGTAGAGTAGCGTTTGCACATCTATATCCAAATGTGCGTGTGATATTTGTTTATTTTCAGAGGCGCGAGAAACTCTCCGTAAAGTAATTTAGATTTTTTATTTTGGTGTAAATCTGCGCACAAGACACTTTTATTAGGATGACCATAAGTAGTTACATGTATCACATGAAGTAACAATTTGTTCCATGAATTTCTTAAATTCTTAAAATCATAGAAAGTTAATCGTTACAAAACCGTAGGTACAATAAGAGAGTAAAAAAATATAGAAGATGTTAAATATATGTGGTTCAAATGAATAGAAAATTTCTACAAATGCATTTTTTTTGACAATATGTAGGTACATGAACAAATTCAAAAAGTTCATAAATTAAATATTTGGTAATAAGAGCAGTATTCGATGTACCTACCTAAATTAATAAATCTTACACAATAAAACTAATATGTAGAAAGATTTTATTTCCATTGAACGATATGCTACTTGTAAACGGTTTCTTTGTAGTTAACGAAAAAACTATGTAGAAAACTGATTTAAAAACATTATAAAATTGAATGTAGTCATTCTGCCTTAATTAAAAAGCAGTTTAACCGCCGTTTTTGAGAGAGAGTGGACCTTTCTGTAATTTTAAAATTTATCTTTAGACAAGTCTTAATTTATAATCATACTATATTTATATGTGTATATGATTGTAACATCTGTTACATTTTATAACTTGCGTGTCGTTGAAATGAAGATCTATTAGCTATTTTTGGGAAAAAAAATTATTTCAAAGGAAACAAAAAATTTATGCTTAATGTTATTATATACATTCGTTTAATTTTACATAAAAATGCTATAATACGTTTCTAGTTTCAACTCTAATTTTATCAATTAGTTGAGATAAAAACCTCCTGTTTATTTATAAAAAAGTAATTGCCTACCTGTAATTTGTATAAATTAAATACACGTATTCAGCTATTTTCTATTATCTAACACAAGAAAAATACTCTCTAGGCTATGTAAAATGAAGATCACCGTAAGCGGTAAGTAATAGTAAAAGTATATTACATCTGTTTGTTGTTGGAACTACTAGGTGTGGCAACAACACAATCATCACCTTATTTCACACAGAGCGTATAGTTACTCTCACAACTAAATGAAAATATGTAATATTTTTTCTTTTCTACTTATCACTATCGGAATGAAAGCATGTAAAAGTCGATGCGAGATGCATTGATGCATTTCATTTTGAAAGGATGCAATTTTTCGTTTTACCTTAGATATTATCGGTAAATTATTAAAATTTTACTTACAAGTAATCAGTTACTTAAATAGACCAAAAAACATTATATATAACAATAAAAGTATAAGGTACAAGTGACAAATTTGTATTCAATCATCACTGATATTACTTTTATTGCAGTTTGCAGATAAATACATTCTTAAACAGTATTGCAACTCACGTACCGTCACCAAATGATCTAGATTGTGACCGTCGACAAAACCTTTAGAAATACATCCAATGTAAAGGTGAAAGGAAGTCGTACCCGTCACAACACTATCTATTGCACTTTTGCGTAGCCTTCAGCCAAACACATTAAAATTAGACTATATTATAAAAGTTTTTCTTCAAAAATTACATAATGCTAAATGAAATCACTGTTTCTATCTAAACGGAAAAAACATTTCTCCTGCTTGCTCTTTTAGGAAACTGGAATGAGTAGTATGTGGTTTCCGAGTTGGAGAGAACTATCTGAGCGGACTAAAATTAGTATATTTAAATTTTTGATTACTTTTTAAATGACCTTTCATGTTGCTATTATTAAGTTTAGCGGTATTTCCGATCAATGTTCAATGAGAAGTAATCACCTCTCGTTGCTCAACTACGGTACTTTATCAAGCGGAATTTATACCGACTACTTTATAGCACATGTCGCACGTTAAATTACATCAAGATGCATTAGCCAATCGTCCCTACTTGACAATGCCGTATTTGTTTCATTTATATAAAAGCAACGAAGGAAGAATTCCTCTCAGTTGGAAGTACTTACTTAAACGACAAAAATGATCAAACTGGTAAGAGTGTGTTTTAAAAAACAACTTTTTTATTGTTTCGTTTTAGATTTTTCTAAGTTTGTTGGTATCATCAATACAAGCACATCCAGGATATGATTTCCATGGATTGGGTGCAATAGCGGCGGTTCCTCCTATAATTTCAGCACCTGTGATTGCTCCAGCTCCAATTTTGGCCTCAGCACCAATTATTAAAACTATTGCACCAGCTCCTATTATTAAAACTATAGCTCCTGCAGCTACTAGTTACGCTACAATTACGAAGGTCCACATCGGTCATCCTGCACCAATTGTAAAGGTACGAATAATTTCTTACTAAAAAATAATTGCTTGGAAAATAAATTGGTAAAACGTAATTTTTTTTAAACAAACGCGTTTTTGCGGTACCTAGTTCGGTAAGCAAGTTACTATGACAGAAGTGGGACTGAATTTTTTATGTGGGAAGTACTGAATTAATTATTATTAGTTTTGTTGTAATATATATTAAAAGCGGCAATAAATTTCTCTTATGCGATCACGTTACAATTGTTCTTTAATAAATTTACGACCTGGTCTGTAATACTTTTTAACAACAGAAGATATTTAGTACATTACTAAAATTGTATAACATATTTTGAAATTTTTACCATATAATAGGTGTAATGATAAAATCATAATTTTTTTGTATTTTAGACTATCCTTGCGCCACAACCAATACTGAAGAGTTATTATTCTGCTCCTTTGACACTTGGCCATGCTTATCATTGAAATAATCCAACTTGTTTTTTTTTGTGTATATAATTTGTTGTATGTGACTGTAGTATGTAGATAATTTTGGCAATAAATGTTTGCATAGACAGAATTTGTGATTTTAATATTTTTGATATGTTATGTACATACTATTTTTAAGTTTAATAGATAAATTAGACGTCATTACTTATATATTATATAAAAAAACGAAACTTTTATAATTTCACTAAGAAATTGTATTTGATAACAAGGGATACGACGTTCATTTCTAATTCCAGCAAGTGCTGAACAGGAACACAGAATATACTCAGGAGTCTTATCTTCCAGGCACATTCTGCATGTGCTTCCAAAAATTAGATCGATATTTGAAGAGGTTAGCGTTGAAAAAAATAACTATGTTCGTATTTTGGACAATTAGGAATTTAATCAATGGTCGCCAATAAAAACCGAAAAAGAATTTAATGAAAAATTTATACTTTTAATTTTTACTTCCCGAGCGTAAGCTAAGGAAGTATAGTAATCGAGTTCAACGCACGAATGGCCACTTTTATTTTTTGTCGACGTTTCATGACCCCTTCAGAACGAAAAAGTAGTCTCCCGTTTCCGTCTGTCTATCCGTCCGTCCGTTGGTGTCTCTATCCATTTTTATTAGATACGTAATCTCCGAAACTGCTGGCTAATCATCCCCACCAACAATTTGATGACGTCATTTCAATGAATTGTATTTTAAAATAATCTGAATCTGCTCTCAGTTTTTTTGATAAACGTTCAAATTTTCGCAAAAATATTTGCAAGGTATAATAACGTTATATTACCTTCACTTATTTTTTTCTTGCATTGGTAATACGCTGTGACTGCTTTTATTTTGTGATGTGACTATTATTATCCCTGTTGATGACGTTATCAGAAATTTTTTATTGGTCAAATTAAGAACGAATCACGCTATTTTCTCGAGAATATATATAGATAAATATATAGATAAAATAAGAATTATAATATTTATAACATTTTGTTTGATTGTCATTTAATTAAAAATTTTAGTCTTCTGTTTTGAGAAGACAAACTCATTTAAATCAAACTAATTTCTACGTTGGTCTACATTGTTTCGATGTATAAACATAAATCCAAACAAATTCCAAGAATTTGCGTTTCCACGGTGCAGGAGGAGATCAAATTAAGAACGTCATTTTATAGAAAATGTGAGAATACCCACGCCTTTATTTAATTATGATCAAATAAGAATAATAATAATCATATTTAAAACATTTTGTTCCATTGTGGCTTGATAAATAATTTTAGTCCTCTGTTTTGAAGAGACAACTTATTCAAATTTAACAATATTCTACGTGACATTCTTTCAATGTATGAATATAAACAATCGAAGTTAACCATGTGCACTGATAATAATACACTGTTTTCCGTTGGTTATTTGCTCTGAATATATTTCATATTATCCGCATGTCTGTGGCACCTTCTTGGAACTACTTGCTCCCGCGGCGGCGCAGGGGGTTCCAGGTGTCATTTATACCACTGGTTTTTACTATATAAAGGTTATTATAAAACAACATTTTTTTATAACTTTTCAAAGAAGCGGAATTTGTTGGACTGTACTTCAAGCGCAAGGGAAGTTCTGTCGAGGTAACATTTTGACCAATTTTTATGTCTAAAAAAATTGCATAAACAGGCATTTAGAGACATGGGGACGGAAACTGTATTCTAGAAGTTTTGAGACGGTGAAAAAAATAAAATTACACATTCGCCAAAGGACGCTATTACAATACTTATTACTTTATTAGGTTAATTTCGGAGGTACATATATAATATATGTATAAATATCGAAAAAATTATGTCGCTTTATGTAATCCATTTGTTTTCCGTTGCCTTATATTTATAGTGGTTTGATCAAATTTTAGTTTTTGTGTTACCGATTATTATTATTTATAATACGATGTTCTTGATTCTGATGATTACCTGTAATTGAAATTACGCTATACTTTCATGTGACAAGCGATCAAAAGATGTTTGTTTATGCGGAATGGTTATGTACCCTAACCACGCCCATATAATCAATTTATAAGTAAAAATGTGTACTCAGTTCAGATGATATTCTGTTGGGTTTAAGAACGTATTTATGAAACAATGTGCCTAACATAATATTAATAACTAAGTGAATGACAACATCGACTGTACTTTAACAGATTACGTTTTTTACGAATTACGGCACATTCAGTAAAATCTTCAGTAACTGGTTTACTTTTATGTTTTCTCGACGTTCCATAACTATAGTCTGTATATCTGTTGGTCTGTCTGTCCGTCTGTCTGCCGTCCCGGATTTTTATTGGATAATCTCTGAAAGCACTGGGCCGATTATTGTCAAATTTTGTATTTATATTAGGAATATCATGTAGATGGTAAAACGCTTACCAAAATTCGTCTAATCATCCCCACCAATAATGTGATGACGTCACTTCAAAATTATATATAGTAAGTGAGTTTTAAATTGTGTAAAATAACATAGTTTTACACATATAGTTTAAGACTTCGTGTTGAGTTTTTACCCGACACGTCCAGATTTTTGGAAAACAAATTAAAATTATAAAACAACATTTTGCAATTTAATTTTGAATCTGCAAAACCGAATGCTTCAAAATCTTGCAAATGTTTTAAAACTATGATAAGCATTATCAATTTTTAATCAGAATACAATTGCTTATCCCCTTCAAAAAATTGATGACGTCATCTCAAAATTTTGTCGAATAAATTCTACTCAAAATGTGCAAAATGTGATGAGTTTTTAGTTGTGATTTATCATTGCATTAAAATTTTGAGTTTTGCTTAAACAGGTGGCTCAAAAAAATTAATGAATGAGTCAACCTATTTTATTGATTAAAGGAGCGAGGGAAGTTCTCTCGAAACAACTTTCTACCAGTTTTTTGAATTATTATTGCTCAACCAATCGTGCACAAATTTAAATAGTGAGCATTTGGTGCTACGGGTTTTGGATAATATCAATGCCTTCTAAACTTACAAGCCACGATGTTACATTTGGCAACGCTGCAGTAGGCTGTTTAGGTAGTCCTACGCGCTAAATGTCGCTTGGTCGCGTGTATCTGCAGTGTGCGCATAATCGTTCAATATTTAATCTCCAATGCCGAAAAAGTTTAAAGCAATAAAAATATTACAACGGATAAAAAAATCAAAAAATAATAATTTCAACTGACGGTTGATATCTTTAAAATGCCTTTGCTGTAATATTGTTTGTGAATGTTAATTTTACGACACAACAATGAAATTAAATACCGCAAAAAAATAATGTGAATGGTTTTTCAAAAGAGTGTGATTTCATATATGTAGGTACTTACGATATTTTTAAATAAGACAATTCAAGACCGTGACAAGAGTTAATTGTTCCACTACTGAAAACCGAAAATGCTTAAATTGGGCTCTTAATTCAAAAGCTTTTAAAAATTCGACCCGAGATCGGATCGCACATTGAAGGGCTTGAAAAAAATATAAAAAAATTAATAATCAGTTTATATTAAACAAAATAAATGATATTCAGTACACAAATACATAATATTGGTCGGTAACACATAACGCCTACATATCTATAATAGTTATAATATGTATAAATGAAACTTAATTAAGACCATAATATTAAGACTTATTTTTGCAGAGTATCCAACTTCCTTTTATTCTTACTGGAATACACAAAATCGTTACAAATTTTAGAATAATTGTTTAATACAATATTGGCCATTATAGAACATACTTTTTTGAAAATATCTTGAAGATTTGTCCCACAAGCACAACCATCGTCAACATTTAAAAAAAAATCATTCTCCTGTAATCGACGCATGGTTAATTTAGTAATAATGTTTTTGTGGTTGGAATATTGAAAGAATTTTTTTTCATAATCTTCTGATGTAATGATAAATTGAAAAATGCTGGCCATTTGATTAAAAACATATTTGATTTCGTGTGAAGGAACAGACAGCCCTCCTCTCTGTAGGTGATCAAAATATACATCTCCAGTACCACAACCTTTTCCTACTCTCAATAATTGTTCACATAAAGAGCATGACAGGGATTTTAATACTGAATGTGAAACATATCCGCAAATATAATTCTGAACAGCTTCATCAGGTACAACTTCCTCTAGATGAAAACTGTCCTCTAAAATAACGGCAAAATCAGAAATATCTTCGTCGCTAACTTCAGATACATCGTAATTTAATGCGTCCTTCAAAGAAATTGTACCAGCACCTACTGACTGAAAGAGTCTTCTTAGTCTACACTTTTTTTCAGACTCTAGAATCTGTCGGACAGAAACATGGTAATTGCTCCCAGATAATCTGCGATACAGCCCAAACCGTTCTTCCAGATTGTCTGTTTCGCATTTTCCTGGTAAAATATAATTTACTTTCAAAGTCGTTAGAGAATATTCGGCAAACTTTAACAAAATGGAAGTACTTCGAAATAATGCTGAAGCCGTATCCTTCGATAATCCGTCTTTATTTAAGGTTGACCACTTTTCTAACCAGAGCAAAAATTTTTTTAAAAACTGAATTTTTTCATCGTCCATGCTGTGAATAGGTCCTGAAAATCTGTTGCGTTTAGCAATTCCTTTTACAATATTCTTGGTGTTTACAATATCCCACCAATTTCTGATTATTTGCAAAAAATCAGCAGTTTCATGATAGGCTGGAATTGTTTTTAATGCTGCGATAGTGGTGTCGTGAAATACATTATCCGACAACTTAACATTCTGCCTCTCAAAGTTATTGGGATATAAGGTTTTCCTATTCAATTTGAAAGCTTTCTTAACCATTAATTCTTTCTCTTGATTATAAAATATCCTAATATGTTCTAAACGTGCCTGCTTAACATGTTCGAAATTATTAAAATCTGGGTAAGTGAATGTTTTCAAATTATCTTTTCTATTTAACCAATTATTATAAATATTTTTGAATAAATGCACAAAATCATACGTTAAAAATATAGGCATATTACTGTGTAACGGATTACAAAATGTATCACCTGATACCAAATTTTTAAAAAAATTTTGGTTCAATCGATTGTTATCTGTAATAATAAGTATTACTTTAAAGT